ACAACAGCCAACATGCCATTAGTCACACTCTCCAAACTGGACCATTTGCATATCGCATAATGTACACGTACTTCGAAGCCATTACCCAGAATTCTGGCTTGTGCCCTCGAAAAGGACCTATATTACTAACACATGACCCCCCCCCCCCCCCCCACCCCCACACCCCCCCACACACGCAAGACGTAACCATCATTGCAGATGAACATGACCCGGGACGCAAACGCCGTGCTCGTTGACACGACTGCACCATTGGATAGGGCTTGCACTAGTGGACAGTGCAGAGCTGTGAAAGGAGACAGCATATAGCGTACAGCATACCGCCGGCAGTGAAGCCTACTCACAATTTAACTCCAACATACATATGACAGAATGTGAGTTAAAACACTAAAGGAAATTTAGTCCGGAATACCCGTCACTTACTCTGAACAAACTCCTTCAGTGTCAGAATTCTCAAAACAATGAGAAATCCGGTCCTCAAACCTTCAGGTTGGGAGGGTTCAACAGTACATTCTGGTATTCAGTAACATCGGTCTTGATGGTACTACTGTATGTAGGTTGCTATAAGCTAAGCGTTCTCCCACCCATACACGCCACTACCCTTTGCCTTTTTGTCATTTCTTCAATGACAAACTCGAGATTGGCCGGCAAGAGAGAAAGCAGGAAATGTACAGAAACCTCACTTACGTGCACAGTCCAGTGGCTGGTCACTCCATGTAGCCTTGGCCTGACAGTATCGTGTACTATTTGTGATAGAGGTGTTGCTGGTTCCAGGTGACAGTGCAACATGACCAGTATGACATGTGTACACGGCTGTCTTGCCAAACGTTGTGTTCTGTACAACTAGTGATGAGTTCATGCCTGCACTGGGCGGCGGACATGATGTAACTGCAAACAACAAACAAGACAAATATCACGGTTGGTGATGAAAAGTCTTGCAGACCATGGGTGTTACCCAAGGTTTTTTCTAGACAATGCATGTCAACTAGGCAATTTTGTTGCTATACTGGCAAGCACGTCCTCATTTCTTTCGCTTTTAACTAAGCCTTGCTTCTCTAAGAGTATAACATTGGCCAACTGCTGTCTGGTGCTTCTCCAGTGCATGGCACTCTTGCGATAGTTTATACCCTCCCTTCCATGGCTTTCCAAGTTTTGCTAGGGGTCATCTGTTGTACATGTATGCCAAGAACGCCGACACATCATTTACAGTGGAATTCATAACTGGAAGAGGATAATTATGAAGATTGTGTTCTAACTCTGAGTTTTATCACCATCTTCCTCTTCTTATTGTTGTAAGTAGCTCTGCCCCGGGGCATCGAGCACTCTTTTGGACAGCCTGGAACCGTTCCGCAATACAGCAGAACTCTGATAAGGCATATCCGCATGGCGAATAGGAAAGTGTATGATTGTATCTGAGCTACTTCGAATCCAAAATATTCTTTAACCTTGAGCGGTGCAGAGACTGCAGACACGTATATAAAGAAATTTGTTCCTGAATAAGTGTAGGTCTAATTAGAGTACCCTGACACCAGCGTTTATCCAGGCGGTCCGGGACAGGGAACTTCCCCTAACTTCCCCTAACTTCGACACTTTGAACAACATACATTTAGATGAGGGAAAGGCCGGAGATATGGCATGTGACGCCGCTATTTCCACTGAAAGTAACAAAAGACTACTTCCTCCGCGTCATCGAAATTACCATCGCAGCGACATTAGCGAAGAAATCGCGTCTAGTTCAAAGATTTCAGCTTCCAATAACAGAAAATAGAACTTTGCCGTCACCCTATACGTATAGATTATAGACCGGTTAGGAGGTCTATACAGGATATATAGACCGAGTAAAAGACCGAGGTCCCCCGAGGTCTTTTACGAGGTCTATATATCCTGTATAGACCAACTATGAGGTCTATAATCTATTTATCGTGTTCTCCACGCAATAGTTTCTCTTCATATACGACATATCCTTGTAATTCTAGTATTATACTATAGCCTATACCGCATTGTACTGCATTGAAAGTCAATATCATTAGGCTCAGCATCGGTAGCACAGTGGCTGGGTGGTAAGGAAGAGTGACTGAGATTCACAAGGTTGTGGGTTCAAATCCATCTTGTGTATTTCTGCTTTCTTCAAAAATTTCTTTTTCTAAGTTGGAGAGAAAATTTCTAAGTCCAAGAAGTTCTAAGGAGTCAAATATAAGTAGTCAAATATATCGTGTATTTGACTAAGCAGTCAAATACGCGATATATTTGACCGCTTAGGTATCAGGGAAATTAGTGGGGTCAAATACTAAGAAGGCGATAATGATGAATATCGCCTATGTCCGATTCCTTGCCTCTGGTACGAGTGCTGGTGAGTAAATACCCCGTTTTATGTCAAAAGTCAAACTGCGACAATTTCGATGACGCGGAGGAAGTAGTAATATTTCCACTAAAACTCTCCCAAAGAGTGCCTGCTAAGCCAAAGTGCCCGTAACTTCGGTGTTTGAATGCCGAGGTATGAAAGTAGGCACTACGTGAGTTCTAATGTAATCCAAGAAATGAATACCAACCGATAAACTCACCTACACACGCCAGAGGATCTCCAGACCAGACACCAGTTTGAGAACATTGACGATCTACATCACCGGAATATTTCTGATATCCGTCAACACAGGTGTAGCTGATCTTGTCCATGTAGCGATGCAGTTTACTGGAGTTCTCATTCAGTCCTGCTATGACCGAGTACGCACCTAATTCAGGACGTGGACACGATACACCTGGATTGTGGAAAGAAACCACATAGAGTGCACAGTTCACAAGAAGTCTGATATAACTAGAGGTGAAACGAATATTCGAACATTTGTTCGGTTTGTCACCACTAGATATAACCACTAGATATAATCATTCTAGTGAGTGAGCTTGCTACCAGTAAACTATCACTGCCGCCGCTTTGAAAGGAAGAGTTCAAAACAGTAAATACAAAAATTGGGGAAATGAAATAGAGATGGGAAGTAGCATTGCGAGAGGGGGGGGGGGGGGATACGTGGTGTGTGTGTGTGTGTGTGTGTGTGTGTGTGCGTGAGCGCGCGCGCACGCGTGTGTGTGTGTGTGTATGTGTGTGTGAGAGAGAGAGGGTGAGAGAGAGAGAGGGGGGGGGTGAGGAGAAGGAAAGGAGGTAAGCAGAGAGAAAGAGGGAGAAACGGCTAACAAAAGCAATGCAGATGCACACATGAAACCACTTCACATCTGCCTTCTAGGTAGATAGCACACAGAGATATTCCTGACACTAAGATACACTTACGCAAGCAGCTGGGTGAAGCGTCACCACTAGACGTGTCGTTGACTAGCTCCAACGGTGCGTCTAAGCCAACTTTCACTAGCTCTGCTGTGGCATTCTGGTAGATGCCCACAGGCAGCCACAAAGCACTCGCACCACATTGAATGGTGTTGTATCCACGCAAGACGTAACCGTCATTGCAGGTGAACATGGCCCGGGACGCAAACGCCGTGCTCGTTGACACGACTCCACCATTGGATAGGGCTTGCACTAGCGGACAGTGCAGAGCTGTGAAAGGAGAGAGCATGTAGCGGCGTACAGCATACAGTGAAGCCTACTCACAATTTAACTCCAACATGCATATGACGGAATGTGAGTTAACACTAAGGGAAATTTAGTCCGGAATACCCGTCACTTACTGAACAAACTCCCATCAGCACAGAATTCTCATAACAATGAAAATCCGGTCATCAGACCTTCAAAAGGTTAGGAGGGTTCAACTATTATTTTATTATTACTTGCATGTACGCGTTGGGGTCAACCATGCAAGCATGATCCACAATTTCGCTTATGCTGAACATGATAAACAGGACTATGACGGGGAAAAAAATGAGCTAGAACGATGATAATAATAATTATGATACTGATATATTATATACAATGTAGCTCATGGGTATTGAAGATATGTCATTTATGAATATGTCCATAATATGAATATTGCAGCCTGAGTGATAATGATAGTGCTATTTCCTGAGTTTGACTGTTTCAGGATCTGTCGGAATATCACAATGCACAGACCCTCATGCATAGATCTCGCCATGCTGGTCTGTTATGGGCAATGGCTCCCAGGCTCTGCAGAGCGTCTACTATTGAACAATCCAGCATTGGCTTGGCGCAGATCTCCCACCATAAAAACTACAGCCGCGAACCACGTAGTGGAAAGCTACAAAAGATGGCCAACCCATTTTCACATGTACAGACAATTTGCAAAAACGTTCCGAACATTCAGGGAGAAGACATTACTTGCATGACACATTGGCAGAACGAACAAGGCAGACTCGAACATTCCAAGATTCTGCAGCCGTTGAGTTTCAGGTGTTGGGTGGCAGCTCCGTTACTGAGGCCGTATACAAGTCGTCGAGCTCGGCTAGCCGCCGCCAACTAGTCAGCGCAACCTCGGCCACGCGCTCGCATTAGCTCCATGCCCGCGTTGACGGAGCTCCGGGTGACCAACAAGCCGAACAGCTGCAAGTCGCGACTCCACAATGACACTGGCCGTCCGCGTGCTCTAACACTCCGCTCCACTCGTACTCCCTCTTTAGCCGTTTCGCTGCTCGTCAAGCCCTGCAGGTAACTTGATTTCTTGAAGGGTACAGACGTCTATGCCGTAGAAAGATAGGTACCGACACAAGCCAGTTCCTCTTGACGGCCGACATGAGGCCCCGCACATTGAAAATTCCGACAGCAAATTTTTCTTTTCCTCCGTAAAGCGTTCGTTCATCAGCTCGTACCATTGATTCCCGTCGCATCGTCCCGTCACTAATGTCCAATGAAAACTGGTTCAACTATACATTCTGGTAATCAGTAAGAACGGTCTTGATGGTGCCACTGTATGTAGGTTGCTATAAGCTAAGCGTTCTCCCACCCATACACGCCACTAGCCTTTGCCTTTTTGTCATTTCTTCAATGACAAACTCGAGATTGGCCGGCAAGAGAGAAAGCAGGAAATGTACAGAAACCTCACTTACGTGCACAGTCCAGTGGCTGGTCACTCCATGCAGCCTTGGCCTGACAGTATCGTGTACTATTTGTGATAGAGGTGTTGCTGGTTCCAGGTGACAGTGCAACATGACCAGTATGACATGTGTACACGGCTGTCTTGCCAAACGTCGTGTTCTGTACAACTAGCGATGAGTTTATGCCTGCGCTGGGCTGCAGACATGATGTAACTGCAAACAACAAACAATCCAAAATTATCACTGTTGGTGATGAAAAGTCTTGCAGACCATGGGTGTTACCCAAGGTTTTTTCTAGACAATGCATGGCAACTAGGCAATTTTGTTGCTATACTGGCAAGCACGTCCTCATTTCTTTCGGTTTTAACTTAGCACCGCTTCTCTGAGAGTATAACATTGGCCAACTGCTGTCTGGTGCTTCTCCAGTGCATGGCACTCTTGCGATAGTTTATACCCTCCCTTCCATGGCTTTCCAAGTTTTGCTAGGGGTCAGGTGTTGTACATGTATGCCAAGAACGCCGACACATCATATACAGTGGAATTCATAACTGGAAGAGGATAATTATGAAGATTGTGTTCTAACTCAGAGTTTCAACACCATCCTCTTCTTCTTCTTCTTCTTCTTCTTGTTGTTGTTGTTGTTGTAAGTAGCTCAGCCCCTGGGCATCGAGCACTCTTTCGGACAGCCTGGAACCGTTCCGCAATACAGTAGAACTCTGATAAGGCGTATGCGCATGGGGAATAGGAAAGTGTATGTAGTATCTAAGTTACTTCGAGTCCAAAATATTCTTTAACCTTGAGCAGTGCAGAGACTGCAGACACATAGAAATTTGTTCCTGAATAAGTGTAGGTGTAATAAGAGTACCCTAACACCAGCGTTTATCCAGGCGGTCCGGGACAGGGAACTTCCCCTAACTTCGACACTTTGAACAACATACATTTTGATGAGGGAAAGGCCGGAGATATGGCATGTGACGCCACTATTTCCACTGAAAGTAACAAAGGACTAGTGATATTTCCACTAAAACTCTCCCAAAGAGTGCCTGCTAAACCAAAGTGTTAACTGGTTTGAGGGAAAGAGACAAACGGGAAAAGTCTGAAGAAAAAATTGAATGTCACCACCAGGACTTGAACCAGGGACCTTCGCTTGTAGCCAGCGATGCTCTAACCACTGAGCTATGGTGTAGTCGTCATCCCAGCAGAGGCCGTTCAACATCTTTTTCAGACTTCGTAACTCACACTTCCTGTGAATCCACACAGGCGGGTGGGACGCAGCCCTCACTGTAACCCACACACTTCACGTACAAACCAAAGTGCCCGTTACTTCGGTGTTCGAATGCTGAGGTATGAAAGTAGGCACTACGTGAGTTCTAATGTAATCCAAGAAATGAATACCAACCGATAAACTCACCTATACATGCCAGAGGATCTCCAGACCAGACACCAGTTTGAGAACATTGACGATCTACATCACCGGAATATTTCTGATATCCGTCAACACAGGTGTAGCTGATCTTGTCCATATAGCGATGCAGTTTGGTGGAGTTCTCATTCAGTCCTGTTATGCCCGAGTATGCACCTAACTCAGGACGTGGACAGGAGACACCTGGAGAGCCGAGCAGAGAGCAGAAGATATCCAATACACGTAACATATTACACTTATTGGGTTTGACAGGTGTGATGCATCATGTCACCGTCCGTGGATGGGGCTTGTATTTTTTCCAAACGGTCATAGGGGCTTTTATTCGAGAGGGGCTTCTAATCGAGTGGGTGTGGTAGTCCTTCCAAATCGACCTGTGCAATGAGGGCCTGCATAGAACCAAGTACTCCCAAGCATGAATACACAAGCATGCAAAGCAGTCCTTGCTCGGACCAAGCCCAAGCTAGCAGATTCCATGGTCATGCTTGACAGCTACAGAACCGGCAAACGATAGCACAGCACAACTTACGCAAACACAGGGGTGACGTCACGTTCTGCACGCTAGAGTTATCAACACCCTGTGCTTGGTCCAAACCGTTTTGGTTCAGCTGAGGCAGGGCATCCAGGAATGCTCCGCTTGCGACCCACGTATTGTCGGACGCACACTCAACAGCGGTGTAACCATGAAGAACATAGCCACTATGGCATGAGAAAGTCACTTCGGAAGAGAACTGAGTTCCACTGGAGAAAGCTGTGCCGTTCAACGGGTCCGGTATCGCATTGCATTGGATTGCTGCAGGGAGAAAATCACGCATGACAACATTCCCCAATTGGCGGTCTAAATCTTTGACTCTGTCCATGCCTGTGCCGTCTGCCTGGTAAGCATTATTCCTCAAAGACTAAACACATAAGATGGTATGCGGAAAGCTGGTCATTGGCACGACTGCCGGAAGCAGTTTTGAATGATCCGGCAACACAAATGTCTTTCATACAGTTTGTGTATGATATGGCGGGTACTAGTACACAGGACCTCCTCAGCAGTGAACATGACTGTGTTGGTGGCCAAACAGTTGTTCCAGCCATGGTCCGACCAGCCATACCAGTAACGATATTACTATCCCTGTGTGTGTATGGTCCGACCAGCCATACCAGTAACGGTATTGCTATCCCTGTGAGTGTGTGTAAGCGGGCAAGAAGTAAACAGAGGTAATGGTCCACTTGCCATTTGTACAGATCCACGAAATCCTGTAGAATCCTGGAGACCCGGAAGGGTGTTGAATGTGTGCTATGCATGCGCATTCGACCAATTTTCGCGTCATAATTCAACGACCAGCGATCGCTTTTCCAGCTTCTTCACTTTGGTTAGAACTAATGACTAGCTAGATCTTTGTCATGGACAGGGATGCGCCGCCATGGATCGCGCTGACGGGCTATTTTGCAGGAGATGCCAAGGCTGGGCGTGGACGTCCGAGGACATCCATTGCGACGCGCATCACAAGCGACTCACAGCGAAGGAACATCGACCTGAAGCGCAGCAATCAGCTGGAGAATTTGAGGGCCATCGCTCTGGACAAGCCTACGTGGAGAAATCTGGCCGACAATCCATGATCTGGCGTCACAGGTCATCAGTGCACCGTATTAATAATTATCTTGATAATAGAATTTGATCATAGGAGATAGGACAGAAACGGAACGTATAATTATACCCACATAAATATATTATTACGCGTGCTGTGGTACTACGAGAGAGCTTGGAAGCTCAGGGCCCTATGCTATGCTTTTTTGCCTTCATGACCTAGACAAAAAAAGCATAGGGATGTTATAAAGTCTTATAAGTTTCTACTTTTTGTTTTTAGACATAACCTGGGATTCGAACCCGCACTATCGCCCTGCATGCATCCACCGATACACTTCGCATACATACTAATTCTTCCAAGTTGCTTCACGTTATGATCTTGTATTTGAAAGCCCTATTTGAATATGCATTGTGGCCAGCCGTCTTTGATTGTACGGTACGGGATAGGTACGGTATTAGAATATTGAATATTGCGGCCAGCGGTATGTGGCCAGCTGTGTTTGATGGGAAGGTACGGTACGGGACAGATACAGGATAGCGCCAGGCGTGACACAAACACACAAACAAACAAACACCAAATTAAAGCTGTGTGGACCCTGGCTAGCGCCAGACGTTACTGAAGTAACGTCTTCTGCATAGCTACGGGAATAATAATAATTATTATTAGATCTTTGTCAGAAAACGGTTTTCGTATGAAATGCATTCAGGGCCCATTTCTTAGTGGAAATAGCAGAAAACACAATAGGGTCCTGCACATTCAACACCCTTCCGGGTCTACGGGGTTCTACGGGATTTCTTGGATCTGTACAAATGGCAAGTGGTCCATTGGTGTGTACTTACGCATGCACTGTAGTGGCTGGTCACTCCAGGCAGCGTTGGCCTGACAGTATCGTGTACTATTTGTGATAGAGGTGTTGCTGGTTCCAGGTGACAGTGCAACATGACCAGTATGACATGTGTACACGGCTGTCTTGCCAAACGTTGTGTTCTGTACAACTAGTGATGAGTTCATGCCTGCTCTAGGCTGGGGGCATGATGTAACTGCAAAAGAAAAAAGAAAGAAGAGGAAAGGAGGAGAGAGAGAGAGAGAGAGAGAGAGAGAGAGAGAGAGAGAGAGAGAGAGAGAGAGAGAGAGAGAGAGAGAGAGAGAGAGAGAGAGAGAGAGAGAGAGAGAGAGAGAGAGAGAGAGAGAGAGAGAGAGAGAGAGAGAGAGAGAGAGAGAGAGAGAGAGAGAGAGAGAGAGAGAGAGAGAGAGAGAGAGAGAGAGAGAGAGAGAGAGAGAGAGAGAGATGCACTGACACCCACCCACACAAAGACAGTCAGAGAGAACACTTTTGGTTTTATCAAGGAAATTACAGCTGTCTCATGAACACCTACAATATTATCACATAGTGCCTAGTGCAGAGTGCCTAGCAGACTAGCCAGATATTATCACATAGTGCCTAGCAGACTAGCCAGATATTATCACATAGTGCCTAGCAGACTAGCCAGATATTATCACATAGTGCCTAGCAGACTAGCCAGATATTATCACATAGTGCCTAGCAGACTAGCCAGAGTTACATAGTGACCAGCAGACTAGCCAGAGGCGACTGAAGAAGCTTTGAAGTATATGAAGGCGGGAACATCTCAAGTGTCTGGGATATGTCTACTAGTCCCTCACCTACACACGCCAAAGCATCTCCAGACCAGACACCAGTGTGAGAACATTGACGATCTACATCACCGGAATATCTCTCATAGCCGTTAACACAAGTGTAGCTGATCTTGTCCATGTAGCGATGCAGTTTACTGGAGTTCTCATTCAGTCCTGTTATGACCGAGTACGCACCTAACTCAGGACGTGGACACGATACACCTGAAGAGATGGGAGAAGACAAAGGGACAGAAAAGCAGTATTTTTCTACCAGAACAGTTCCTGACGTCATAACACACCACGACTTCTATTGTTTGAAACATTTCCACAAACGAAACAAACCACTATAGTTACTGACGTCATATCAATGTGGTGGAGGAATGTACTTCAAACAGGCTAGGGGATACTGAAGGTCAGTGAATATGATAGCAGCATGGTCCAGTACGTCTTTGTAGAGTACATTTTTAAGCAATAAATCTACTTATGAAAAACAACTCCACCAAATACTGTGTCTGGACTGCCAAATAAAAGGAAATAAAATATACTCATCGACTATGCATTATTGAGACACCATCATGACGTACGTAAGCACAGCGGTGAGGTCACGTTCCACATGGTGTAATTATCAAGACCCTGCACTTGGTCCAAACCGTTTTGGTTCAGCTGAGGCAGGGCATCCAGGAATGCTCCGCTTGCGATCCACGTCTCGTCGGACGCACACTCAACAGCGGTGTAACCATGAAGAACATAGCCACTATGGCATGAGAAAGTCACTTCGGAAGAGAACTGAGTTCCACTGGAGAAAGCTGTGCCGTTCAACGGGTCCGGTATCGCATTGCATTGGATTGCTGCAGGGAGAAAATCACGCATGACAACATTCCCCGATTGGCGGTCTAAATCTTTGACTCTGTCCATGCCTGTGCCGTCTGCCTGGTAAGCATTATTCCTCAAAGACTAAACACATCAGATGGTATGCGGAAAGCTGGTCATTGGCACGACTGCCGGAAGCAGTTTTGAATGATCCGGCAACACAAATGTCTTTCATACAGTTTGTGTATGATATGGCGGGTACTAGTACACAGGACCTCCTCAGCAGTGAACATGTGTTGGTGGCCAAACAGTTGTTCCAGCCATGGTCCGACCAGCCATACCAGTAACGTTATTACTATCCCTGTGTGCGTGTGTGTGCAAGCGGGCAAGAAGTAAACAGAGGTAATGGTCCACTTGCCATTTGTACAGATCCACGAAATCCTGTAGAATCCTGGAGACCCGGAAGAGTGTTGAATGTGTGCTATGCATGCGCATTAGACCAATTTTCGCGTCATAATTCAACGACCAGCAATCGCTTTTCCAGCTTCTTCACTTTGGTTAGAACTAAGACTAGCTAGATCTTTGTCAGAAAACGGTTTTCGTATGAAGTGCATTCAGGGGACATTTCTTAGTGGAAATAGCAGAAAACACAATAGGCTCCTGCATATTCAACACCCTTCCGGGTCTACGGGGTTCTACAGGATTTCTTGGATCTGTACAAATGGCAAGTGGTCCATTGGTGTGTACTTACGCATGCACTGTAGTGGCTGGTCACTCCAGGCAGCGTTGGCCTGACAGTATCGTGTACTATTTGTGATAGAGGTGTTGCTGGTTCCAGGTGACAGTGCAACATGACCAGTATGACATGTGTACACGGCTGTCTTTCCAAACGTTGTGTTCTGTACAACTAGTGATGAGTTCATGCCTGCTCTAGGCTGGGGGCATGATGTAACTGCAAAAGAAAAAAGAAAGAAGAGGAAAGGAGGAAGAGAGAGAGAGAGAGAGAGAGAGAGAGAGAGAGAGAGAGAGGGGGAGAGAGAGAGAGAGAGAGAGAGAGAGAGAGAGAGATAGATAGAGAGAGAGAGAGAGATGCACTGACACCCACCCACCCACACAAAGACAGTCAGAGAGAACACTTTTGGTATTATCAAGGAAATTGCAGCTGTCTCATGAACACCTACAATATTATCACATAGTCAGTACTGCATAGGTCCTAGCAGACTAGCCAGATATTATCACATAGTGCCTAGCAGACTAGCCAGATATTATCACATAGTGCCTAGCAGACTAGCCAGATATTATCACATGGTGCCTAGCAGACTAGCCAGATATTATCACATAGTGCCTAGCAGACTAGCCAGATATTATCACATAGTGCCTAGCAGACTAGCCAGATATTATCACATAGTGCCTAGCAGACTAGCCAGATATTATCACATAGTGCCTAGCAGACTAGCCAGATATTATCACATAGTGCCTAGCAGACTAGCCAGATATTATCATATAGTGCCTAGCAGACTAGCCAGATATTATTACATAGTGCCTAGCAGACTAGCCAGATATTATCACATAGTGCCTAGCAGACTAGCCAGATATTATCAAATAGTGCCTAGCAGACTAGCCAGATATTATCACATTATGCCTAGCAGACTAGCCAGAGTTACATAGTGCCTAGCAGACTAGCAGACTAGCCAGAGGCGACTGCTAAGAAGCTTTGAAGTATAATGAAGGCGGGAACATCTCATGAGTCTGGGATATGTCTACTAGTCCCTCACCTACACACGCCAAAGCATCTCCAGACCAGACACCAGTGTGAGAACATTGACGATCTACATCACCGGAATATCTCTCATAGCCGTTAACACAAGTGTAGCTGATCTTGTCCATGTAGCGATGCAGTTTACTGGAGTTCTCATTCAGTCCTGTTATGACCGAGTACGCACCTAACTCAGGACGTGGACACGATACACCTGAAGAGATGGGAGAAGACAAAGGGACAGAAAAGCAGTATTTTTCTACCAGAACAGTTCCTGACATCATAACACACCAGGACTTCTATTGTTTGAAACATTTCCACAAACGAAACAAACCACTATAGTTACTGACGTCATACCAATGTGGTGGAGGAATGTACTTCAAACAGGCTAGGGGATACTGAAGGTCAGTGAATATGATAGCAGCATGGTCCAGTACATCTTTGTAGGAGTACATTTTTAAGCAATAAATCTACTTATGAAAAACAACTCCACCAAATACTGTGTCTGGACTGCCAAATAAAAGGAAATAAAATATACTCATCGACTATGCATTATTGAGACACCATCATGACGTACGTAAGCACAGCGGTGAGGTCACGTTCCACATGGTGTAATTATCAAGACCCTGCACTTGGTCCAAACCGTTTTGGTCCAGTTGAGGCAGGGCATCCAGGAATGCTCCGCTTGCAATCCATGTCTTGTCGGACGCACACTCAACAGCGGTGTAACCATGAAGAACATAGCCACTATGGCATGAGAAAGTCACTTCGGAAGAGAACTGAGTTCCACTGGAGAAAGCTGTGCCGTCCAACGGGTCTGGTATCGCATTGCATTGGATTGCTGCAGGGAGAAAATCACGCATGACAACATTCCCCGATTGGCGGTCTAAATCTTTGACTCTGTCCATGCCTGTGTCGTCTGCCTGGTAAGCATTATTCCTCAAAGACCAACCACAGAAGATGGTATGCGGAAAGCTGGTCATTGGCACGACTGCCGGAAGCATTTTTGAATGATCCGGCAACACCATAGTCTTTCATACAGTTTGTGTATGATATGGCGGGTACCAGTACACAGGACCTCCTCAGCAGTGAACATGACTGTGTTGGTGGCCAAACAGTTGTTCCAGCCATGGTCCGACCAGCCATACCAGTAACGGTATTACTATCCCTGTGTGTGTATGGTCCGACCAGCCATACCAGTAACGGTATTGCTATCCCTGTGAGTGTGTGTAAGCGGGCAAGAAGTAAACAGAGGTAATGGTCCACTTGCCATTTGTACAGATCCACGAAATCCTGTAGAATCCTGTAGACCCGGAAGGATGTTGAATGTGTGCTATGCATGCGCATTCGACCAATTTTCGCGTCATAATTCAACGACCAGCAATCGCTTTTCCAGCTTCTTCACTTTGGTTAGAACTAAGACTAGCTAGATCTTTGTCAGAAAACGGTTTTCGTATGAAATGCATTCAGGGGACATTTCTTAGTGGAAATAGCAGAAAACACCACAATAGGGTCCTGCACATTCAACACCCTTCCGGGTCTACGGGGTTCTACGGGATTTCTTGGATCTGTACAAATGGCAAGTGGTCCATTGGTGTGTACTTACGCATGCACTGTAGTGGCTGGTCACTCCAGGCAGCGTTGGCCTGACAGTATCGTGTACTATTTGTGATAGAGGTGTTGCTGGTTCCAGGTGACAGTGCAACATGACCAGTATGACATGTGTACACGGCTGTCTTTCCAAACGTTGTGTTCTGTACAACTAGTGATGAGCTTATGCCTGCTCTAGGCTGGGGGCATGATGTAACTGCAAAAGAAAAAAAGAAAGAAGGGGAAGGGAGGAAGAGAGAGAGAGAGAGAGAGAGAGAGAGAGAGAGAGAGAGAGAGAGAGAGAGAGAGAGAGAGAGAGAGAGAGAGAGAGAGAGGGAGAGAGAGAGAGAGGGACAGAGAGGAGCGGAGAGAGAGGGAGAGAGAGAGAGAGAGATAGATAGATAGAGAGAGAGAGAGAGAGAGAGAGAGAGAGAGAGAGAGAGAGAGAGAGAGAGAGAGAGAGAGAGAGAGAGAGAGAGAGAGAGAGAGAGAGAGAGAGAGATGCACTGACACCCACCCACACAAAGACAGTCAGAGAGAACACTTTTGGTTTTATCAAGGAAATTACAGCTGTCTCATGAACACCTACAATATTATCACATAGTGCCTAGTGCAGAGTGCCTAGCAGACTATCACATAGCGCCAAGCAGACTATCACATAGTGCCTAGCAGACTAGCCAGAGTTACATAGTGCCTAGCAGACTAGCAGACTAGCCAGAGGCGACTGCTAAGAAGCTTTGAAGTATATGAAGGCGGGAACATCTCATGAGTCTGGGATATGTCTACTAGTCCCTCACCTACACACGCCAAAGCATCTCCAGACCAGACACCAGTGTGAGAACATTGACGATCTACATCACCGGAATATCTCTCATAGCCGTTAACACAAGTGTAGCTGATCTTGTCCATGTAGCGATGCAGTTTACTGGAGTTCTCATTCAGTCCTGTTATGACCGAGTACGCACCTAACTCAGGACGTGGACACGATACACCTGAAGAGATGGGAGAAGACAAAGGGACAGAAAAGCAGTATTTTTCTACCAGAACAGTTCCTGACATCATAACACACCACGACTTCTATTGTTTGAAACATTTCCACAAACGAAACAAACCACTATAGTTACTGACGTCATATCAATGTGGTGGAGGAATGTACTTCAAACAGGCCAGGGGATATTGAAGGGCAGTGACTACAATAGCAGTATGGTCCAGTACACCTTCGTAGGAGTACAGGGATGAATTTATTGTCATATTTTTGCATAGCAGTTTCTGCTATACAAAATCACAATTGTGTAGCACTCTTTGATTATGATTAGCATTTTTCTTTGAAGGTTGGGTGTTTACCACATTGTCCTTCTTGAGAGTGATGCCTGAAGGCCCATTTGCAAAAACCCCGACTGAATCATGCATGTGCACGCAGATCGAGTGCCTGCACAACATACACTGCACTGTATGCATGTTACTTGACAGCGCAGGCTAAACATGGACAGTCTGCATGTATCGCAGTTTTCTGCGAGTCATGGTGACTTTTAGGTAGCAGTAGATTGATTTTGCATCGCAAACTGCAATGCGATACAGGATAAATTCATCCCTGGAGTACATTTTTAAGCAATGAATCTACTTATGAAAATACTCCACCAAATACTGTCTCTGGACTACCAGATAAAGAAGAAATGAATCGATATACTCATCGACTATGTCTTATTGAGACACCATCATGACGTACGTAAGCACAGCGGTGAGGTCACGTTCCACATGGTATAATTATCAAGACCCTGCACTTGGTCCAAACCATTTTGCTTCAGTTGAGGCAGGGCATCCAGGAATGCTCCGCTTGCAACCCACGTCTCGTCGGACGCACACTCAACAGCGGTGTAACCATGAAGAACATAGCCACTATTGCATGAGAAAGTCACTTCAGAAGAGAACTGAGTTCCATTGGAGAAAGCTGTGCCGTTCAACGGGTCTGGTATAGGATGACATTGGATTGCTGCAGGGAAGAAGACAAGAGCAAAGGCAAGTAACTGTTGCAAGCGACTTGAAAATTGCCAATGAGTCCCGCTGCGTACTAGTGTACGTCATCTAGAGATAAAGTTCACTCTGCCTACAATAGTATACAAGTTGAGGCTCAGCCCCCCCCCCCCCCCCAAAAGGCTGATTTCAAGTAGCTGTTTGCACGATGGGGAAAGCCAGCAAAATTGTTGGACTAATTGGGCGACCAGATCGATTGGAAGGCACGGGAGCTGCACAGAACGGACTTATGCGCTCGGTCGTTGCATCAGCACGAGCCATGCTCTCTCTTCAATCAGAGGCAGCGCTTTGCCATGGACCTCACCACAAAACGAGAAAGAACAGAATGATATCAGTCTGAAGAAAGGAACCAACTTCCGATTGCTCACATGCAACATTTTCGAACATTTACAAACGCTATTTCCATGCCTTCCTATCACGTGGAATGCAGGCGAAAAAGAGACATTCATTGGTCCTACCAAACATTAAACCTTCCAAGGTGGAAGGCTGTTGGTTTGTGCACTAGAGGCATGTGAGAGCTAGGTCTCAGGTTGTTGAATGTCGCATTAACATGTCGGTTTTGTGCCCTGTTATCGCACTTTCTGACTGCTTATTATCTTGTTACAGTCGTGGATAGTTGCTTCATAACTCGTTTCCATGTGATTTCTTCTATTTAAAAAAGAGAGAGGGGGATCTTTTCAAAGCTGCAACCGTTAGTAAAGTATAGTGGAACACGCGTACCTTGACAGTTTGGAGGAGGTTGACTCCATGTAGAGTCATCCTGGCAGGTAACAGTCAGGCTGGTTGTTGAATTTGTTGTAGTGTTATCAGTGGTAATACTATAGCCATCATGACATGTATACACGGCTGTAGATTGATACAAAACTGTTCTGACAGTCAATACTGAGTTGTTTGATGATAACGGTACTCCACAGCTCACACCTGCAGTGGACAGCAAGCGCAAAGAACAAATAACAAAACTGTTGCTGTGCCTCGAAAAGCCATGCTTCAAACTGTCCTCAGCGGCTTGCGCAAACCTGTTCCGCAAAGCAAATGAACTGAACCATTCGCGTCTCCTCGACCTGTCACTTTGTTTGTACTACTCTACGTATCCAGCGTAAGGAAATGTGTGGATTGACCCATTGTCTTTGACATTGGCTTGGCTGATGCAGCCGAGAGAATGTAAATAAAAATGAAAATAGCAATACTTACGTTTACATGCCAGCGGTGTTCCAGTCCACGTGCCGTCAGCTGAGCATGTCCTTGTCACGTCACCAAACACTCTCTCATAGCCAGGCAGACATGCATAGGTGATCATGCTGCCAACAGCCTGAGGTTCCCTATGCAGACTGGGTGAGACTGATGAGTTCAGACTTTGCTCGCCGGCTAATCCACATGCACGAGCTGCACAGTTCATTAACACATTGGTGAGAGAATCAACAATTCAACCAACTTCAGTAGACCATGCACTGCAGTGATATTCAAAACATGTTGCCACTATCGCCATGGTCACTTCAGGAGCCGTATCAGTGCCTTGATTCTTGAATGTGGTGATGTTTCCCCCAGACCTGACCCATTGACTCGCTTTGTATAAAACAAACGAGTCGCTGAGCATCTTTCCACTGCACCTGATGTTTGCGCTATTGGCTTCACCTCAATTGTCGCCTCATTTCCTTGCATATTACGGTCACCTGTTTTGGAGCCATCAGTTGC